ACCCGAGGTGGCACTGAGGCGAACCTGGCTGCGCGGGCCGAAGTCCCCGCGGCAAAAGTTGCGGCAACTGAGACAGGAGCCAAGACTGCCGAGGACGCGGGCTCTGATCGCCCCGGAGGCAATGAAAGGCCAGACACTCCTGCGGCATCTCTCCCGAGCCAGACGGACGGAGATCCTTCGCTAGGGGGGGCCCTGCCCCCAGAAGGGAAAGACGCTGCATCCAATATCATCCGGACCATCAAATACGTCACATCGCCTTTTCGAATGCACGCGAGCACGTAACGCGCTCAAGAATGAGCGCACTTTCTTTCACCAATGGCGTCGTGCAGTTGATGATCAGCCGACAGTTGTTGATGATCTGGATAATTTGCAGGAAATGGATCTGCATATTGACACAGCAAAGAGGATATACGAGCTTGCTGAGAGAAAGGGGAGACACGAGCCGGGCTCGGACTCGTGGAAGCGGTTTGCAGCGACTGTTGTAGAACAGATCCAGAGCACGAAACCAGATTTCGTTCTTACTCCTGTGATCGCCGCCAAGAGCAAGCGTTTACAGCCTCGCACTGAAGGCGAATTGATTGCAGGTGGAAACAGGCTGCCTACACCCCCTGCGCCACCGTCCGGCCCAGCCGTGGCGGTGAGTGTACCTAAGCCTCCGCCTGGCCCAGCCAGAGCTGAGACCACGCCGATGCAGGGGGGCCAGATGATGGTTTATTCGGGCGCTGTTGCTGCAATGCACGCTGCGCCTCATGAGGCTGCCGAGTCATCCCCTACCAAAGATGTCCAGAGCTCTTCTGATGAGGCGGCTGCGCCCGCTGCAAAGGCAACACCACCGGTCGTCGCTTCGAGCGGACATAACGCGGCGGAGCCTTCCTCTGCGGACAGAGCCCCGGGTGTCCCAGACATACCGGGGCCCCTTGAGGCCAGCCCAGATCTTGCTCACCTCAATGAGTTCCCATATCAAGAGGATCCTGATCTTATCCACCTTCAGGAGGGGCATTATCGGTCTGGCCCAGCCTCTGCCACCTTTCTCTGCATAGCGGAACTGCCGCCTTCCCCTGATATGCGGCAGCCTAGCCCGACTGAAGGTTCGCTCCGTGAGGGCGATCATGAGATTAACGTTGGCCACGCTGACCAATTTAGGGGGAAAGAGCTTTATCTTTCGCTGGAAGACCGCACTCGATCTGAATCGGAGAGTTCGAGAGGCCCACACTACTAGTTCCGCACCCCCTGGTGTAGAGGCCCTTCGCAACAAAACGTTTGGCACGCTCAGACAAATTGCGGAGCTCGTTGAAGATCCCATATTCGCACTATTAGGTGAGCTTTCCGTAGACATAGGCAGTTTTGAGCAGGTGCGAGACTTTCTCCGCGCAGAGTTTCACTCTGATGGCGTTCCCGGCGGATTCGACCCTCAGTCTTTTAAGGCCCTGACTCCGTTGGTTCTGGGAGTCGCTGATCGCGAGAATCCGGCGGCCCTAGGTTCCGCGGATTTTTGGCGGCGCCACAGTTGTCGAGTAGATGGGCTTGCTATGCGCATTGGAGATTTTTCCACGTATCGCGAGGCACTGTTCTGATTATGCGAGGTCTTCGGGAGGCTGGGTCTACTTTGGAGACCTGGTGGAGAAGATGGATGAGGATGGGTTTAAATACCAAACATACGCACTTGCTGCACGCGGCCTAGCCGCGCTGCAGCCTGGGACAGTAGAAGTCCTAGGTGCGCTCCCTGAAGACGTTGCCAGCATCAGAGAGACGAGTGTTCACAGACTGTGGCACGACTTTAAAGCCTGGCCCATTCAAGGGAGAGAGCGGGCTAAGTGCCCCGGTCCTGTTTTCTATCGAGCGTGCCAGGGACATTCCACGCTTGTTGCCTCAATTGAGAGGACGTATCCGCCTTATGGCCCTGGCCCATCCAGTTGTCATGGGCCCCTCCTCCATTCACTGACATGGAGACGCTGATGGAGTCCATGGTCGGAGAGATTCAGTTTCCAAAGAGCACGTCAGGGCTTTGTCTCGAGGCGGACTACGGATTGTTGAGGCTTCTTCCGACCAAGAAGGATCCGAACATGCAAAGCCCAGACCATTTTCCCTCCTGGCTAAGCCAGCGTAGGGATGGAGAGCCTGCTCCTGTGAAGAAGCACCGAGCCATGGGCAAAGACCCAAAGCCGGGAGAGCCTCCGACGATTGGGGCATGGCCCGCAGTGGACACAGTCCGTCTGTGGGACCAGCTTCCAACAGAGATTCTCTTGCTTTCAATGGCCGCGTGCTCACCCGATTTTCGCACCGAATCTGCCTGGGCGATACTCTCGTGCCCCGTGAAGTGCCAAGGTCCACCGACATCGACAAATCCGTCACTCTTGCCAAGGTTGACGACTGGTGGGATACGGACGTAAAGCGGATGTCATGGTCAATTGTCTTTAATCAGGAGTGGACCTCATATGAGGTAAACTTTGATAACATGTCCATTATCGTTTGGAGTCACACTGATGAGACTTTGACATTACACCCAGATGTTAGGCATATTTGGCTTGAAAGGGCAGACGCATTCATTCAGTCTGTCCCCTGGGAGGACGACGGCCGGTTCCTCTGTGCTGAATTGCATTGGGTGCGAACTGGTTTTGACCGTTGCCCCTCATGCGATAACCCAGTGAAGTATAAGTACGTGGTTGCGCACGATTATTTGCTTCAGTCACCTAAGCACAAGACCATTCGAGACTCACTGTGGAACAGTGGCATTAAGTTGACCGTTCTCGATCAAGAAACATTGATTTGGACGCATGATCGCTATGTTAAAGACAGAATGCTACGACAGCGGAGAGCGCCAGTGGATGTCATGACGAACATCAACAACAATTTGAAGTTGGAACGCAAATGGGCAACATATAATAAGTACCTCCTCGTGGCTGCTTCAGGTCAAGCCTTTGGAAACAGCCGCCCGGGTAGCGTTCCTGCCTGGATTCCTGACGACAGGTGACGGGGGACCCGCAGATATGACCCTTGATTTAACCGCCGTCTGCGGGTCCCAGACCCAGCAGATGATTGACGGGAGGATCGATCTCGATCTGCCCAATGGACTGGTGAACTCTCGCCGCGATGATGACTCGTTGAGCATCACGATGACGAAGAACGAAGCTATTGATGCGGCTGCACAATATGTCATGGAGTACACGTGCTATCGCCCGGACACGAGCGTGACCGATAGGTTGCGCCTAACGGGCGAAATAACGCATGATGTCCCTGACGATGTGCGACAGACCATTGAGTGGAATTGGAAGATTCTTGTTAAAGACCTTGAGTTAGGTCTCCGTATCATACGCGTGATTGTGATCGTCCGTGAACGCATTAGTTATTTTATTGTTGATGGGGTTTTATATTCCATACCCCTCGGAGGGGTTTCTCACCCGCGACACAGATGCTGGGTGCGACAATGACAAGCGTCTCACGGACGCATGCGCACTTGATTGCCGCATCCGTGCGGCTGTGGAGACAGATGACCTCATTGAGGCATGGGCCCGTGACATCGGTAGACAGGGTCGTGTAGAGATCCGTCGCCAGGGCATGAAGCTGCAAGATGCCGTCTTCTGGCTATACCCATACGTGGAAGCAACTGAGCTTCGAGATAAAGATGAAGGCCAATTTCGTACTGCCTGTGGCAAGTCTGGTGCTTTTGTTGCTACTACCGAGAGGGGTATTGTGAGACATGCTAGGATGCAGCATGAGATACGTCTTCGTGAGGAAGGAGACGCTGGCGAACCCTCCGACGGCCAAGCCGGTTCGGAAGGGGTTCCTGTTGCGAAACCAACGCCAAGCCATGCGGTTCGCCCTGGTCCGCCTCCTCCGCCTAGAAGGTCCGACGTCCAAGGCGATCGGGCTAGCGAGTACGTTACTGAGTCTCCGCGCTCCGCCGGCGGTCAAACCGTCGCGGCGGGAGAAGAGCATTCGTGGCGTTCTTCTGACGGGGGCGCATGGGATTGGTCAAGGCCCGCGCGCGCGCGGCGGGGCCATGGCTGCCGGGCGCGCGGCTGGCGGCTACAACCCCGAAATCCACTACCCGCGCTACACGAATTGCAGGGATACTGGGCGCATTATACCGCCATCCACTGGATGTCCCGCGAGGAGAACGAGCGTCGGACGTGGCATTTTGTGCTTCCCTACGACTACGACTACTACTTTCAGAGAGAGAGAGAGAGAGAGAGAGAGAGAGAGAGAGAGAGAGAGAGAGAGAAAGGCAAGGGATACACCAATAACAAGGACAAGGACAAGTACAACAGGCCAGCTCCCTATGCTGGCCGCGGTAAGGAAGGCAGGTCAGCTTCGCCTTATTGGACAGCTGACCAGACGAGAGGTTCATCGCCTTCGAACCCGAGACCTCCGTCTCCGCCTTCGGGGCGGTGCCTCTAGTACAACAAGTGAGGGCGTGCAAAGGCCGTGCGACAAAGTCGCCGCGGCACCGACCGAACGGCATAGTAGTTTCGGCGGAGAGGTTTTATTTATCTATTGGTGGGATTTGTCGGGTCTTCTCCAGCCCTCAGCCCCCTGGCGACCACCGCTGAGCGGTAAAATGCTTTTGGGGTTCGCTCCAGTGGCTGTAAATATGTACAAGCCGGGTGGGCTGTGGCTGGTTGGGCTCTACGAAACCCGCCGCGGGGGGAGTTAATATGCTCCTCTCCGCCTCATCATGCACTTGCCTCTCCTGTTGCCTGCCTTGCCATACCTTGACATTGGTATCACTGTATACCGCAGCTGTGCATCTACTGCTCGAGTGAGAAAAGGAGCGCGCCGGGGGGCGCGTGGGCGGCCCGTGTCGTCGTCCGTCCCTGGCCGGACTCCTCATTTCCCATACTTGATTGTAGTTGCTTAACGGATAATTGATAGTTTCATCGATGTCTCATCCCGTATCCTCTACCACTGAGCAGAGTCAACATGAAACCTTAATCCCTTTGACATCTTACCCCGATTCTCAGAGGAAAGACTCTCTGCCTTGCCGAGCTCACCTGTGACAGGAGCTCCGGGAGCCGAACAACAAGGCGGACATCGAGAAACGCAGAGTCGAGTTCACCATCAAGACCATGCCAGATGGCCAGCGGCTTGACGGGAAGGAGGAGTGGGATGCGGAGGAGGAGGGCCAGAGGAAAAGGAGGAGGAGGAGGAGGCGGAGGAGGAGCAGGAATGATGAGGAGGAGGAGGGCCAGGAGCGAGGAGGAGTGAGGGGGAAGGAATTGAGGAGGAAGGAGAAGGAAGAGGAGGTGCATGAGTATGAAAGGAGTAGGAGAAGGAGGAGGAGGAGGAGGAGGAGGAGGAGGGAAAGTGTGAAGAGTAGGAGGAGTAGGGGTAAGGAGGAGGAGGAGGAGGAAGGGAGGGGGAAGGAGGAAGGAGGGAGGAGGAGGAGGAGGAGGAGGGAGAGAGGAGGGAGGGAGGAGGAGGAGGAGGAGGAGGAGGAGGAGAAAGGAGAGGCGGAGGGGGATGAGCAGGAGGAGGGCCGTGCTGGTTCGCCCGCGCGGGTGGCCGCTGTGGGGCCTCCCCCTGGTCTTGCGCCTCGTTTTGCACAGGCCACCGTTTCTAAAAAAATGTCCCTTGAAAATGAAAACGGCAAAAAAAGGCGACCGGAAACGGCAAAAAAACGGTTCCAGGATTGGAACCGGAGCCGGAACCGGTCAAAAAACGGCGACGGAACCGGTAAAAAAACGGCGTCGGAACCAGCAAAAAAACGGCAAAACGGAACCGGTAAAAAAACGGCCCTGTCGTTTCCAGGGCCCACTAAGGGCCTCCCCCCTTGGCGTGCGTCCTCCTGTTTTGCTCGGGCCTGTTTCGGCGGATCGCGGCTAAGGACGATGCGGTTCCAACCATACTTTGGCCCTGATCACCCGAAGAGCTTCGGGCACGAGGGAAGCACCGACGCTGTAGGTGTTTCGCGTTTTCACGCGTCGGGCCCTGGGGGGCGATGCTCGCTCGACGCTCCGCTGTAGCGTGTCGGGCAGGCACTGTCTCGATGCTTGTCTGGGTGCTCGAGATCCTTGTTGGGATGTGGCCCTTCAGTACGATGTGAGCCACATCAGGGCCACGGATCGAGGAAGCGCAAACATGGATTAGCGACGCGCGAAGTAGCGATGGGCCCCGCCTCCTCGCAGAGAATCGGCGCGCTCCGTCTCCAAACTGGGCGGCACGGGCCTCGCACTTCGAGGAACCAGCGCCGGCGCGACGGATCCACGGAGCCCTGATCCATTCAGGAGGGAACAAAACACACAGACTCAACGAATCGTCGATTCCCCAGAGAATATAGGAAAATATGGGAAGTGGGGGGAATACCAAGACCCAGAAAATATGGGATAATGTGGGCGCGCGCCCGAAGAGGAGCAGGCCGGGCAGGCCCGGGCTCCGCCCTCTTGCCTGCGTCGTGCGACCTGTCTCCGGCGTCGTTCTGTTGGCTGTCCGCCCACACCGGCGCTGCGCTGCTCTTCGCCATGCTGCAGCCGCTCGCCAGGGTCACTGGTCGGCTCGTGGCGCAGACCGTGCTTCGTCGCCTAAGAACATCCTGTTACCCAGCGAGCGAAGAACGGTATAACATAAACTTTCCGCCGTCGGAGACACCTGCCCCTGGGCGGCTGGAAAGTTTATACCCCTACGGTGCCACCGTAAGGGTATAAAACTTTCCAGCCGCCCAGGGACAGGCGCCCCCGACAGCGAAGCAATTTATTATATACCGTTCTTCGCCCGTTAAGGCACGTACACGTCCTGGCGTCTCGCCCTCTTCTTCGGCAGGCTGTCGGGCCGATGTGGCCCGTGGCGTCAGGGAGAGCGCGGCCTGCCGCGCGCAGCAACGGCCGCACCGCGCAGGTGCAGCAAAACGACCCCGACGGTGCTCGGGCCCAGCAGGAGGCGGAGGGCACGAGGTCGAGATCTCCAGGAAGCAACAAACAGACGCTGCGATCTGGCACAATGCGAGGATCGCTTCGGCCTGCCCCCTCTTCCTCTTTACGCCTTCCTTGTCCTTTCTAGCCAGGGCGAACAGCTGCATAAACATCATATGTCGGAGCTCCGCGCGGATTTCTCGAATCGGCGCTGGGGCCACCTGGCACGATTCGCGCGCCAAGGGGGGGTTCCAGCGCAGATCCCGGAAATCTGCGCGGAGTTCCGAAATATTATAGTTATACAATGGTGTACTATGTTGGGTACATTTTCGCGGGGAGTACCGTGTTTCCGTCGGGTGCGGTTCTGTCGCTTCGAGGGCCCAATTTTTGGGCACGCACTTGGCTTGATCAGGCTCGCCGCTCCAGAAACATGTGTGGTGCGCTCGACGTCCAGCCCCGTGAAAATCGTAATGCGCATGCGTGCGCAGCGCACTTGGGTGACCCCGTCGGAACATCGGGTGGGGTATGCGGTGATTGTCTTGTGTTGTGTTCTTGCCCATCCTCCGGCCGTCCTCCGCCGCTGCTTTTCCTCCTCCCGATCCTCTTCATCATGCGCCTTCCAAACATTATCGTCGGATGTGTGCCCCCCCCGTGCGTTTGCATCCCTTTGTTTCCCACAACCACCCTGCATTGATGGTGATGTGTTCCTCGTCCCCCTCCTCCCCTCCTCCTCCTCCTCCTCCTCCCACTCCTCGTCCTTCTCCTCC